TTTCGTCAGAAAACCAGACAGGGATGTCTGTGAAAAAAATCATAGACTTTATTTCGGGTACAATGTCTTGTTTTATTTCTGAGAAACATTTCTGGCACGGAGAACGGCACTGTGTTTGATATTGTGGTCTTGGCGGAATGATATCACAGCCGGCGACTCAAACGTTGACGTAATGGCGGGAAATTAGCTACAGCGAACACCGCATCTAAACGGGCGTTTCGCATGTAAACCCTTCCTTTCCCTCTCACAAATAATGGCAAAAATACACGACAATTTTCTTTAAGTGCAATAAAATGGCGCCCTTCAAACAGATTTTTAGACGGTACAATTTCCAAGCCACCGATAGCTTAAAACAGTCAGTCGGTCGTTTCTTGATCCTATGAAAACACAATGCCGAGACAGTTTTTGTTGTATCGGACACAGTGCAGTACTCGGCCTGGCCGAAAAATCGTGAGTTGCGGGGATGGGCATATGGAGGGCCGCTCCAGGCGCATCGGCTGGGCCTTCCCGGCTCTTGCACAATCAATGTTGCGGGTCGTGGTCGCTTGCGAGTCCCTCGGCACGGAAGTGTCAAAATGCAACTGTCGGAACAAAACATGACCCCGACATCTCACAGCCGAAATCTAAAGACCCCACAGGTGCAAGCTTATTAGCCTGCTGGCTGGCACTCCCAACAAACAGCTAGCGGCACCTGAAAAACGCAATACCTCATACCTTTGCCTACACCGCAAGCTAAAAGAAATACACCATTATATTCAAGTTTAGTCATGTGAAGATGCAACATAGTTCCGTCTATAAATTCTTACTGTGCTACTAGGAAAAATAAAAGGAGCATCCACCGACGGCCAAAATCGCAACCTTACACTCGATGGCACCGCATGTGGCCAGCTCACCAGTGACTTGCTTTCCGATGTAATGGTATAATGTTATGTTGCAAAACAATCAAAGAAGCGTGGGCTAGATGAAATTTGTTGATTCTTAACGCAAATCTGAATAAATAGGAAGAAATGTGAATGTAATAGACTGTGATGATCACAGACAATATGTCAAAGTAATTAAGGTTTAATACGACGGTAGGATTGAACCGTAATACTGAAGTGCGGCATAATATTTTGCTACACTTTCCCCTTTTAATCTGAATCGTCTTTCCGTTATGAACATCCCCTTTCACCAACTTACTTTAGTAAATCAAACAAACAAACAAACAAACAAACAAACAAACAAACAAGCAAACAAACAAGCAAGCAAACAACTACATGTAGCCCGGCATGCGGTAAAATCTATCACTTGATACCGCGATTCTGGCACGGTTTGGGACTCAGTGCACAAAAAATTTCTTTAAAAATATCCCTTTTATTCAAATTCATATCCCCAGTTTGGGTAAAACCGAGATGTTGCAGTTGTAACAGGGAATAAGGAGCTCGACCCACCAAGTTCATGGCATGTGTTTAGCATTGCAAAAAAATACTCTGCCAAAAATGTCTCTTTTTTTTTTTCAAACTCATATCCCCAGTTTAGGTGAACCTGGATACTATTGCAGTTATTACCGGGGTACTATTACAGGGAATAAGGAGCTCGTTCCGCCAGGTTCACGGCATGTGTTTGGCATTGAAAAAAAATACTGTCCAAAAATGTCTCTTTTTTTCCTTTTTTTCTTCTTCAAATTCATAACAGGTATCCTCAGTTTATTAGGTAAACCGGTATACTATTGCAGTTGTTACAGGGATACTATTGCAGGGAATAAGGCGCTCGTTCCGCCAGGTTCACGGCATGTGTTTGGCATTGTGATGACCAGGACCGGACAGATGGGACGATATAATCGATTGGCATTCGGCAAATTCAAGGCGCGAAGCTAAGCAAATTACTCCTCGTGAAAATTGGTCGATGAAGCGGATAAATTATACAGTACGACACTCCGAACTAAGAACAGAGAAATTATTTTTTACACTTCATTTGTACATGTATATTGTATCACGCAACTGTAGTCTCATTTGACAAAAGCTTTGTAGTATCCGAAAATGTATCTTACATACAAACAGCTTGAAGAAAGTACTAGTATATGTAACGGGTTACATATAAGAAATAAGAAGAAAGGAAGAAAGCTAAGCAAATTACCCGTCATGAAAATTGGTCATTGAAGCGGATAAATTATAAAGTTACAATACGAAGAACGGAAAGTTTTTCTACAGCTGATACCAAAGAGGTTGAATTTAACCTCCTTGGATGTACAGTACTAAGTACATATATGTAGTCACTTTAAGTTTGATACCATCGGGCAAAAGCTTTTTTACGATATCCGAAATGTACCGAAATGGCTGACCAAATTCATCTTGGAACTCCGACAATGAAAATGTTAGTGACTAAGCAATCGCGAAAACAGTAATTTAAAAAAAAACAAATCAATGACCGGCCGTGAGAGCATTTCTACTTGAGACGAGCCTCGTGATCATATACATGTGTAAGTTCAAAGACACGTTGAATGAGCGATTTTATGATGTGAATACCAGCCTCGGAAAGGAGCTCAACTTGATCATGAATAAACACGCCCGTTTTTAACGCTACTGATTTGTCAGTTCAGTCAATGTCATATTATAGTGCGGAACGCATGAGAACAAAACTGTTCGAGTCTCATATCGAAAATCACGGTAATCTGTGTAATTTAACAGCATATGTAAAAAAAATAATGTAAAGAAAAAAAATAAAGAAAGGAGTTAACAATTAAGGTAACAACTGGTGAACGTTTATTTAGTCGAGTATAGAAATGAAAATGTAACATAATAAAGGGGGTTAGGTTTTGAAATCACATGGGTTAAATATAACCGCGTTTGATTGCTTTGTATTGCCACTTGAATGAAATAAAATAGAATAAAATTAAATTTATACGACTTTTCGTTTTGTTTGCTGTATAATATATCCGTTGCCAAGTTTGCCTAATCTTCAAGGCTAAGAGCAAAATATCAACGCATTCAGGCAACATTGTATGTCATGTTTGTCTGTAATGTTTGATATCTTAATAAAGAATTGAATTGAAAAAAAGTGCGAATAACTGGAAAGACGCACAGCCCAAACCTACGTCAGCTTAGAATTTACGTTTTCATACTCATGTTAATTAGTAGCCGTTGTATTGGAAATTTATGTTAACTGATTGTTACGAAGTTTTTCCAAACGACAGACTTTTTTCCTTAAGATTAAGCTTTTTGCCGTAATTTCCGTGGTTGCCTAATACTAGTATTTCCTCAGTCGTCACTTTATGATAACCTAATGACATGTTAGACATCCGTTTCATTGATATATTGCACATTGATATAAGACTACACAAAATTAATAGACCTTGTCATATTTTTCTATTTTCTATAAATTAAACCAACAAATATTGAGGTATGATATTACATATTCGTCTTTTCCTGTATTTGTCCCAGAATATTATGAGTTTGTGGCTAACAGAACCTTGATAAATATCTAAAAGTAAAGAGCAAGAAGGTGTACACCTAGGGGGTCTTGGGTCAGGGGTCACCAACTGGTTCTGGGATACAAGATGGCCGACAAGAAAGACTCAGGTGAGTTTTGAGATCAAATTTCTTGCGTTTTCTCCTCGCAGGTGTCCCACCTGGGCCACCTGAATGTCCCCGTTGTTTTTCCACGACAGCAGGGTACTTAACATAAGAATGTTCGGGACAGACAACCGGCGGTTTTGGCGCCACGGGTGCCAAATCACCAGGGTGACCGTCACCTGAGAGATTTGTTTACAAACTTCGCGTCTCCTCGAAACGGAATAAATTATAGCTTCTGGGGAGGGGACAGATATGGAAAGGGAGTCAGGGGACGGATAGTTTCCTCGGGTTCCTCATTTATCGGGATTTTAACCAAAAGTTGATAAATGATAGTTTCCTCATGCGAAATTATGCACACTGCATGTATGTAGTTAGTGGTCGTTTGAGGGGGAGGGGGGCATATATGTACAGATGGTAAGGATATGCTTTGTAACTCCGAGTCAAGTCACTTTGCTTCGCTGTTAATGTTTGTTAGAACGGTCTCCCATGCCCTTGAACGTGAACGACCTCCTGATAAAGATCCCCAAGTTCACTTTTATACGCACTGGAGGCAAATATGGATGCTTATAATGATCTGTTATTCTATAGCAAAGAAATTGTGTCTGCATCTATCCAGTATGTCAACACATTGGCATACTAGTAATTTTACTGCAAATGTATATACTACCTCAGGTATTGGGACTGACACGGTCATCATACTTGGAAAATCTGTATCTGTATCTTTACATGAATCTGTATCTCTACATGAATCTGTATCTAAATGTGAATAAAGATCACGAGTGATTGCCCAGACAGAAATACTAGTATTGCAGTGGGATAATTTTGTGGTATGAGCCTATGAAGGAAAGGGAGGCGTTTGCAGTGTTTGAAGTTCATGGTTAAAATAATTCTGCAGTACAGCAATATTATATACCACACATATTCACAGTGTCATGATTTTGACACTGCCAAAAAAATACAAAAAAGAGAGCACCGCAAACATTTCACCATTTACACAGCACAACTTTTTCCTACATGCCTGCACACTGATAAAAATGACTTGCACCAGACAGGTTATACCTGCATCACTCTTAATTTAGGAATCATGTATCATACTAAAAACTGTGAAGGAACCATTGCCATTACTTCTTTTATACTAGGTGGTAACAGTAAATGCAGCTAATAAAAAAAATATACCTACATGTATATATAAACCCAGTACATCAGCTGGTGCAGGTAGACACCAGAAAGATAAAAAAATAAAAATAAAAATATACTGATAGTGATGACTGAAAAGAATGATTGTAATATTAAACTGATATTCGTTCCTTGTTAGGTTAAGCATTAAGCTGTGGTATTCGTGTTAAGTAACTTTGGTAGAAATCAGAATAGTAATAAATATGACCCCTGAAGCAATTTCAGGGCAGAAAAACTGGATTTTCAAAGTTAATTTTTCTAAGCTGAATCAACCCTATCCCATAACATATACCAATTTTACCATGTTGTACTTAAGTTACTTAAGTAATGTTATGTTTATACACATATGTGTAAGGAGCAAATCGTTGACATGGCAACATGTAAACCCTTGGATAAACAAATAATTGAAAAATACTGTCTGTGAGGCAAAAATGCGATGTCGCTAAATTATGATATGAAACAGTTACTCGTTTCGTATCATAGGCTGGTTGTAGCTGCTATTTATTAGTGGTACTGCAAAATAAAGGGTCTCTTAACATAACTTGTTTTGGGGCCATTTTAAACGCTTCATGTATGAAATGATAACAAATATGTGCTAAAGAAATGGCAGTAAATATCAATATCAGGCAGATTTCATCATCCAGAATAATTTTATGTTTGCTGCCCTGAAATTGCATTGGTGCCTTTTCCTTCAAGGTTGTTTTGTTAGAGGAGCTATGTTATGCACAAATCAGTTACTTTCAGTCAGAACTCAAGTTTATTTTGTTGTGGTTCAGGTCAGTTTAGTTCAGGTGACTTGACTTGAGTTGTATTTAGTTAGAGTGAGTTCAGGTCAGTTTGGGTCAACTCAGGACAGTGTTTCCAGGCAGGTTTGTTTTGTTCAGCTTGGATGAGCGTAGCGGTGTTCGGTTTCCTTCAGTTGGTTTGAAAAGTGTGTGTGTGACTGTGTGTGGGTATTCACAGACACTGATGCTCATGTTAGTCTATATTGGTTCTGTGACTTGGTAGAAATGAGTACTGGTATATATGATAATGGTAACATAAAAATAATTTACTCTAGCTAGCTGGAATTTTTTTTCCTCAGCCCAGGTTCATGATTGGCAAATTTTGAATCTTCAAGTTCAATGCAATTTCCCATATTTTGAAAGCCAAATAATGGGGTTAAGAGTGACCGTTGTTGGTGGTTTTCTTGATGTTTTTATATTTTTTTCCAAGAAATTTGTACCTTTTTTTACCTTCACCAGAGCATTACCGGTATATTTTGGGTAGTGTGTATCTGTGGTTACGTTGGTATGTGTGTGTGTGTACATGTATGTATGTGGTTTAGCACAGTAACTTAAGAAGCTATGGATGAATTGTCATGAAACTTGGTAGGTACTAGGTAGGTAGGTCTTGATAATTTTAGTTCAGCTGCCTTTCTAATGGCTTAGCTGAATCGGGTAAAATTTCATCAGAGACTAATTAGCTTTTATCACCATCACATTCATCGTAGGTCATCATACTTTGTTTTAAGACTCCAGGAAGAGTAGTCATATATATGCAATGTCACAAATGGTTTAACAATAAGAATGATTAGAACAATAAACTTTTCAAACAGGCTGTGACAGAAACAACTCTGATACGGAGAATTTTACATATCCCAAAAATGCATTCAGTTTGCAAAGATGATCTCACGACAGACTCTTTGCTTGGGATAATGATGTTGAAGTCAGTTGGATCTAGCCCTGTATGGTACCTGGTTTGGTCTACGGGTCATTGACCCCAGCTGAGCTGACTGAAATCTGAGTCTGTGTCTATCAAATTACATCAGTTCATCTCAGGTCAGCTCAGGTTGGCTCAGTTCATTTCAATTTAATTCAGTTTTATGGTCCCTTACCACGAATATAATCCATTTGCATTGTGCCATCTTTTCTTATTCATACCATCGGCTCATAAAATCACAAATGGGCTTCAGACTCCTCTACCTTTTTATGTATTATTATGAAACCCCAAATTATTGCTGACTTAAAGTTAAAAATCGTACAGGCCTGGAGTTTTAAATCTGTGATAGAAATGAAATAAAGGCAAAGCCTTTCTTTGTCAATGATACACATTGTCAAGGAAATTGTTACTCAAGCAACTGGACAGGTTTTGAAAACAAGTAGACTTTTCATGTAGCATCTACATGTGTACTATTTTTTGTCAGTTATATTATAGATTTAGTCCTTTTTATAGTCCTTATTTCAGAGTACTTTAAGTGTTGTATTTGCTGGTAGCTTTTGACAAGTAGTGGTATGAAAATGAATGTAATATTTATATCTATTGCTGTTATAAATAACTGTAAAATATTCCCAGTGCAATTGGCAGATAGAGATTTTGATGATTGTAATGTGGCCATCTGTGCCCGTGAGTGTCTAGGGGAATCAGAGAGGGGGGGAAGGGTACAGGAAGTATTTACCCCATCATGAATTATGCAGAAATATAATCATATAGCTGGAGAATAGCAGAAACTACGCAGCTGTCAAGTGTTAGAAGTGGTGCTGAATTGCTGCTCTTTCCGGACAGCGGTAAACACGGTTTGCGGGGATGATTTTGGGGTCGTAAATCGGCGTCGGACAACAGATAGCCATTTGCAGCTCTGTGTATCAGTAATAATACTCATTATACTTGAAGAAACCTGGGCCACCTGCAACATGTAATTTTTGATGGCAGATGAAAGATAAGAATTCGTAGATTTCAAACCCCCAGTATGTATTTTCAGAGGTTTTTTTTTTTGGTGAACCTATTCGTACAAGCAAAAAGATGGTCTGACATACATATTCTCCATGGGCCTAGGACAGAAAGCAGGCAAGTCCAAGCTGAAGGCTTGATTTTGGCACCCAGCCAACAGACCCAGTCAACTTCTGGGACCTAACTTCCTGTGTCTGGCCTTTTGTCGTCTGTTATTAGGGAATTCCCCACCCTCGCGTGTTGTTACTCGACTGCACGGATACACAAGCAATTTTCAATGTTAGCAGTGAAACACTAGAGGCAGTAGAAACAGGGAAAACCCCTGAGTCCCGGGACACCGGGAATCAAACCCGCGCCAAACCCAATTTATGAAGCAAGGCACAAACTGCTATTCCAAAATGTCAGAAACCATTAGACAGGTCAGTTAGTGGCACTTGAACCACATTGTTACATCAGAACAAAGTGCAACTATGCAGAAAAAAAGTATTTTGAGCCCTGAGAGCTAATATAAATACAAAGTCAGGTGGTTATTTCCACCTGAGTGGAGTGAGGAAAGTCAATTGTAAAGCAATTTTCCCAAGGGCACAACGTCCAGCCAGGAATGTTAGGATTCGAACCCGTGACCTCTTGATCCTACGTGCGCTAGCCCAAGCACTTAATGTATTTGTATTTTTGTTACACGTGCTATTAAAAAGGTGAAGAATTGTAGAAACACCATGTAACATTCTTAACTCACAGCTCTGTATATATGGGTGTCGGATATGTATAAACAAAGGGTTTAAAAAGAACAGGTTGTAGATTAAGTGAGACTAAGCCTGGTAGCTTATATTTTACTTAAAAAGATGCCAACATTGATTATGAACTATACCCTTGCCTGATAAATGCACAAGATAGTCTGTGGTTTTTGGAATACATCCAAACCCTGAAACATTGCTAGATAAAGTACCAGGTTCTTAAAAAAACTTTTAACAAGTAAAGGAAAAAATTCAGACACGCTCAAACACACACACACACACGCGCGCTGTCTGGTTTATGAATGATTATGATTATGAATTACAAGAATAAAACAGAAATTTGCTATTGTTGAGTATTTACAAAGTCTTGCAAACTGAGTTGAGTCA